CTCCCTCTCGTTCTGTGTTAGCTTCCAGGGCTGGGCTTACCCCCCTCCTGGGCTAAGACTGAAGGCTGGAGATTACTCAGGTCCTGAAGGGTTTTTCTTCCATAGGCTTGCAAGGGGACACTTGCTTACTATGGATCTTCTTCCACAGGGTTACAGGGGATAATGGTTTAAGAGTTCACCCCTGTTTCCTTATGGAGGTCCCTCCCCATGGGAGAACAGTCCTTGATAGACTTCTCGGCATGGGTCTGGCACGAATCCACACACACACGGATTCCAATATCTCACATGGGCCGTCTCGCTCCAGCATGAGATTTTTCAGAGTCACAAAAACTTTAACAGCAGTATAGATCCACACACGCACGGATCTCGGTATCTCACCTGAGTCATCACTGCCTCAGCACAGGTTTCCCTCAGGGTCACAAATCTCCACCAGGACTCTGCCTCACTTCAGTCCTTTTCATGAAGCCTTGGTTCTCTTTGGTACATCCACAGACTTCTTTATCAGTTGCATGGGAGGTCTCCTTGTTCTAACAATCTTTTACAGGTGGCAGGGATTTATTTTCAGTCTTTTCCCTGCTAAGGAGAGAGAGCAGAAAGGAGGGGGGAAACAAGCCTCCCCCCTTTCGCATTTTACTTTTCTTTGCTGCAGCTTCGGCTGCCAACTCCGACCTTGGAAGCTCCGTTATCTTTCGGCTGGAATTCTTCCACAGCGGTTTCTGTCCAAGCAGTCCGTCTTTTAAACTTTTTTTTCTCTTCACTCTCTTACAAGAGAGAAGGGAGGACTTCAGTGCTGCACCTGCTCCCCCCCCCGGCCCAAGCCGGGGGAGGAGGGAGTCTGGCCCTGTTCGGGCCCAGTACTCCTCTCCCCTACATGGCTACTACTCTAATTCCAACTGCGCCAACAACCTTCTCTTCCGTTTTCTTGAAGATGTAATTAGCAAAGGCGTTTCTGGACTTTTGATTGGCCTTTTTGTCCGGAAATTACCTGGACAAAACCATCATCAGCCCCAGGGATGGGCTGAGGGGGCAAAACCACGACATGTACTTTCTAATGAGCTTTCCAAACTCCACCTGCTTCACACCCAGTCTTTAATCTCCCCAAGGGAAAGTGGGATGAGTGGCTATTACTCATTAGTCTGCTGCTTGTTGTGAAAAAGGATACACCAGTGGATTCTTTAATAGCAAAATCAGGGAAAAGGTTTATGCTGGGGTTAGCTGCAAATTACTGTAATTCAGTTGTAAGCTCCTGGTAAGCCAGCCAGGGAAGAGCTCTTGATTTGTGCTTTTAAAGATGAGATGACATGTGCTCTTAAAGGATGGAGGAAAGAAGATACAGTTGTGTGTAAAACATGTATTTTTGATCAAGAAAGAGAGCAAGGCTTCATGTTCAGCAGGGGTGTCAGGGAACTGGGCCCCCTGGGAGTGATCCTTCAAGGAAATCAGTTTTGTATCTGAGCATGACAATTGTGTGCAGCTTCAGGTAGGAACTTCATGAGCATGTGCTATTTTTGGCTACCAACCATTTGACTCATGCAAACTCTGATAGAAAAGGTGAGAGAGAGATCTTCTTTTTAAATTCATTGCTGGCTTTGCTGTAATGCTGTGATGGGGAGTGAAGCTCAAATATATATATACATATATATAGATAGATATATATAATCACAAAGTAGGGCACTATGAGACTGAGTAGGAGAATGAAGAAGCAGCTGTACAGCACCAAT